AACTCTCCACTTCTCTTCCCAGTAGCTCTCAGGTACTATTCCCACAGGAGAAGAACCAAGTGAGATAGAATCAACTGATAAGCTGTGACCTCTCATCGGGGGCTCGACCCTTTTGGAATTAAATCACGATGAGCATTGATTTCCAAAGCAAGACTCTGCAATGTCTTAGCCTTTTCAATAACTTTACTCAGATCAATGTCCTCCGGAAAATTCAGCAACTTCTTGAGAGAAGAAGTCGCGTTTTCAGTTGCTAGCAGCGATGATCTCAGATAAAGTATCATCGAAACCGCCATGCCAGCAACCAGAGCTCCTCGGGGAGAGCTAAGGATCCTGAATTCAAACCCTAAATCAGCCTCAATACCTCTCTCTACCTCGGAGTTGTCAGCAGAAAATATCTCATCCCACACAATCAATAGATTATTCAGCGGAAACTCTCTCCCGAACAAAACCCGTAGCCAACGGAGAGCAAAGTACTGTGGTTCAACGCCAAGCTCAACGAGATGGCTGTGAAGAGAAGCATCGACTAGAGACAGTAAATGATACAAAGCCCCAGAAGCTTCGATCACAGGAGGAAGTCCCGTGACAGAATCGCTTGGAGCGGAATACACGAAGAAATTCGCTACAGAAACCGAACCGAGGGAAGATCCACCATACATAAGAGCGTCAAACATTGTGTAAGCGTCGTGTTCCATGAATTTCTCAGAGAGGACGATTCCCAATTCGCCTTCTGCTCCATACGCATCACTCAACAACACAGCAGTCTGCGTCTCGGTATCAAGTTCATCGAAACTCTTTGGTTTTTTCTTCTTGGTGCTTCCAGAGGGTGGACCACTTCCATCTCCATCTTCTTCATCTTCCATAGAATCATCCAAAACCTTTTTTATATCGAAATCATACGCTCCAGAATCACGTTCTTGAAACGCTAACTCGTCAAACAAATCAACAAACTGATCTTCATAGTTTGATCTAACTTCCGTAAGATATTGCACATCAACTTGAAGAACATAAAGCAAAGGAGCCAATAGTTCATGCATCCCTAAAACCAAAAACCGTAAAAAAACACCATTAAAACCACAAACCCTTTCCGCAAAGTACCCTCGAAAATCAAGTATCTAACCTTGTCTATAACCAATCTCAGGATGCTTCAAACACCACAAAAGAAGTATCCTTCTTAACATCCCTTGGCATCCAGAGGATTGAAAATAACTCCCATGTTCTGGATACAACCGAGAAAGATCTTGATCAAGCGTTTTCTCGAGCTCTGCATTACGAAAGAATCTTCCCCAAGTACTATCTACACAATCCAGAAATCTTTATATAATCATTACATAGGAGAGAAACTGCAACTGAATGTATCTGAGACAAAATGAGACGGTATTGTTTTGATATTTACCAGGATTTTGTGATAAGGGATTATCAATAGTTAGATCTGGAGAATTTGTTCCTTTCTTAGGCAAATGTGGATCAATTAAGAGTCGTCTTCTCAAAGCAGCATATCTAAGAAACAACAACAACATCTAAAAATCAAAACTTTATACTTTTTGTCTGAGAAATTACAAATCTTCAAGTCTGAATCTGAAGCTACCAAATCGAAAAACGCAAACCCTAAAAGCAAAATCTTCAATTGTTTAAACTAAGAATGGTGAAAATGTAGGGGAAAGTCAAAACCTTCTTCTGGAATCAGCTGTTACTCTGCGAAGCTCATCAATGGTGGAGGAAGGAGAGGACGGCAAGATTCCGAGGTTGATTCGCCAACGGACGCCGCGAAGCTTCTCGAACCGGTGATCTTGAGACGGCGAGGCATTGGAAGTGCAAGGGTCTTGTGTTCTTGATATCTGGATTTCTTCATGAATCGCCATGTTCTTCTACACAACGCTCTTGCCTCATCAAATCTTCGTGCCAAATCGATTCTTGTTTCGATGGAAATTAACAAACTATTTGGGTTTACTTTTTGTTTATGAGAAAACATAAAATTTGAATTGTATTTTTTTTATCTTTTCATGAGGCTCAGAATCTGAGATTGGTGGTGGCTTGGAGACAAGAATGGTTCATGTCTTTCAAACGACATAGTTTCATTCTCCAGCTTCATTTTTATCCTTCAAAAGTAAATAAAATTGGAAAAAGAGGATTAGAACAGTGAAGGAAACAATATTACCGTTAAATTTTTACTATACCACTATTGTTATGGTTGATATTTTTTTCATTAGATTCTTCTTACAGGAAAAGAATCCGAGAGATATTTGGCAACTCTCTCTCTTAAAATTTTCAGAGAGAGAGAAACCGTTTTTTGTTACCGTTCAGAACTTTTTCTGGTTATTAAATTCTGTTCATCAAATTTTTCTTCGAACATGCATCGTTTCCTTTGCGGTGTTTGGTTGGCTTTTGTCCGGTTTGCCGTTGGCGATTCTTGTTGTTTTGCTCTCGGTTGTTCATGGCCGAATTCGATTTTACTTTACCAATCCTGTTTTCCGATTCTCTCCGGTTTTTGGCACGAAATTTAGTTTGCCGTGTTTTTAGATTGTTGTTTCAATTTGATGTTTTTTGTTCAATAAATTCCTTAGATATGTGTTGGAGTTAGATATTTTAGGTGATCATTTGCTTAAAATTATTAGGCAAAGGTTATTATCGGTTTACTTTCAATGATTCAGCCAGCTCGTTTTGTGGTTTTTCATCCACTTGATAATACGTGACTGGGATAAAATCCAAAGTGAAAATATCTTCAGTTTAGAAGGTTATTAACTTTGTTAGGCCTTCTCTACAAAACATGTGGGGCTTTTATCTTTATTTTTTGTCATCTGAATTTTATTAAGAAACCAAGGTAGGATACAAGTTGAAATACATATGCCGGCAGACGAACATAATGTCTCCAGAAACTTAGCCTAAAAAAGGGAAACAAGACCCCAACAGAACGAGGAAGCTAATTTAGACCAAACATTTAAGCAAACGATAAAGACATATATGTAAAGAGGAAGAGTTGCGAAGGAAAATATGAAATCCAAACACTATTTGAACAAAGGAACCAGAGCGTCTCACCTAGCTTCCCAAAGAACATGTGAAGAGCTTTTATCTATAGCCCATGTAATATTCGTTTGTTTAATAAAGTTATAGTTGAGAAAATAAAAAAAAGAGAAGAGAATCCAAGGATCATTTTTTGACAAGAAGACGAAATTCCAAAAGAGTGAACCATTTAAAATTAAGTAATATCAAACTTGACGAGGGAGAAGATTACACTAGAAATGTATAAGTGTTCTCACTCATTAATTAACCAAGATCAGTCCACTCTCTATACTTTGCATTAAAATATACATGAGTCACTTGATTTTCGTAACTATAATAACTTGTTACAAATTATCAACAACCTCCACTTGTACGTACTTTTATCAAACATGTAAAAACATTGTAGTACACGGACAGACGGACTAGCAAATTATTAGACATGTAAATCCCGATTTTAAATGGTTCTAAATTCATAAATCCAAACACGTTTTATAACGAGATGGATTAGTTTTGATCTGCAGATTTTAATCTCTTTTGACATGTTTTATAAAGAAATAAACATTTGAGACTGGAATTTGTCCA